GTGAACCCCGTGAAGGAGTATCACAAGAGAGCGGCTGAAGTCCCTTTCTCAAAAGAAAAGGTCAGACGACGAAGATTACGGGTCCTCTTGAAGTGGTCCCGGTCCAGTCGTCTCCTTATATACCTAGTCAGGTCATAAGTATTGTCACACAGTAAAAACTTTTCTTTTAGAATGCGGGCCACAAAAAAGTTTATTGAATTCGAATTTCGAATTGTTCATGAAAATAAAAATGTATACTTTTTAGAATTTTACTCATTTTTAAATATGGAGTGGACGCTTAAAGAAGACCGTGTTGCAGTTATTGCGTTGCATCGTTGCGGTTACGCGCCAATTCAAATTCAACTGAAAAATTTGAATATAACCAAAAGATTCGTTTATCGTACCATCGAACGATACAATGAAGACTCTAGTGTAGATGACAGGTCTAGAAGTGGTCGCCCTCGGTCTGTTGGGACTCAAGCAGTGATAAAAGCTGTGAAGGCGCGAATTCAAAGAAATTCTTGATCAGAAACTGTTGGCCCTTCAGATGGGCTTAAGCAGAACCACGGTGAAAAGGGTGTTAAATGAAGACTTAGGGCTTCGGGCATATCGAAGAAAAACAGGACATCGTTTGAATGCTTATCTAATGGACCTGAGACTGAAGAGATGCCGCGCTTTGTTGAAGCGGTACGCGGGAAAAAAATATCGGGAAATTCTTTTTTCGGATGAAAAAATTTTTACCGTAGAAGAGAGCTACAACAAACAAAATGATAAGGTGCACGCACTGTTACGGTTTCCCAATGCTAGGAAAAACCCTCAATCATAGGTAATAAGTAATTACATAGATTTCCTCTAAATAGTCATGTCATCATTTAAAGGAAGCTCTGCTTCCCGCTCCCGGGAACAAGTTAGTCTCTGCCCGACCGCTGAATCCATAACACCTCTGTATCATCTCGTGTCTGCTAGTTTCGACTCCGGGCTAATTAAAATTTGTAACCATTTCTATTTCTAAATTATACTATTTCCGTTGTGTAATAAAAGTGCTTTTTTTAAAACCTAGTTTACGAGGTCCCGTATAACATTGGTGGCAGCTTAAAGGATTTAAAAGAAATAAGTAAATCCTCGGAACGCCTCAATTCAGTGAAAATTAAACAAAATAAATTCCATATATACGTGTAATTGTGTCGGTAAAAAGTGCTAAATCCCAATCTTATCTCCGTGTCGCTGTATCTCTATTAAACACCGCTGTATCCTGCTGGTCATACCAGACCCTCGTAAGGCACGTGCCTTGTTGGGCATACTCCGAAGACCTATCACTCACCTTGGGTGATCTAGCCTGGCTACGAAATGATTCGTGTTGCCGTCATAGTTGCAGTGTTCCTGTAAGTACATTCATTCTACATCGAAGCTATTCGTGTTGTGAAAAAAAAAGTGTCAGTGATTTAACTATAAAGTCCATCGCATAATTTCAATTTAATTTAAAGTATTAAGAGTTTAAAAGTATTAGACTTAGTAACATTTAATTAATCATTCATTGTATTATTTCTTTATCGTTCAGTTCCGAGAATAGTGCAACATTCCATTCTAATCTCAACTCCGTACCTCACGCGTTATCTTTGTTTTGACTAACTTGCTATGCCTAAGGACGAGCCTATTACCATGTCTAAAGAAACAAAAGAAATCGACATGAACTTTCTAAGTAAATTCATTAATAAATTTGATGGAAACCGAGAAAAACTTAATGCGTTTTTAAATAATTGCAGAAATGCAATAAGCCTTGCGTCACCGTCTCATCTCAACAAGACATAATATTAAAATATATTTTAAGCCAACTCGAAGGCCGTGCCGAAAGTGCGTGCTCCATTAAAGAATTCGAGAACTGGCAACAGTTAGAGGAGTTTCTCAAAAACCAATTTGGCGAGAAAAAGCATTACGCTGCACTACTCTCGGACCTCCAAGATTGTTGTCAAACTAATAGTGAAACAGTCAACCAGTTCGCACTACGCGTAGAAACATGCCTATCAAAACTATTAACCGAAATCAATATCTCAATACCCACGAAAAAGAAAGGTGAACTGACTGGCCGTGTCGCCGCAATGCAAGATTTAGCATTGCATACATTTGTAAGTGGCTTAAATCCTCGACTGTCAACGGTAGTCAATGCCGTGACCCTGAAACCTTAAATGAAGCCATTGGCTTCGCTGTATCCGAAGAAAAGATATTGCAGACCTCTTCTAAGCGTAATCCTTCGGCAAATAATACCAGTTCGCCTAATCAAGGACGCTGGCCTCAACGCCAATCACAAACAAGGCTACTCAAACAATACCAACAGTCAAGGGCCGTCTACTTCAGGTCCTCCAGTGTGCCGTGATTATAAAAACGTGGGTCACACTATCGAGAATTGTAGGAAACGGGAGTTTAATAATAACCGCTTTAGAGACCAAAATAATCAAAGACGCTATCAAAACAATCAAGCCCAAATCCACGCGGTAGACATTAACGAAAGTAGTGACTACACGGAAGGTCAGGGTGAATCAAACGATGATTTAAACGCATAAAGGGCTCACGGTGGTGTCTCGTGAGACCCAAGCATCGAATTCCAAAACATTACTATATCAAAGGCACCAATACTACATCCACTGTATCCTCTGTATTCCCTAATAGTAGGGACTTGCGAATTAAACGAAATACTATATCCGCTGTATCCTCTGTATCCCCTTATGTTAGGGACTCGCGAAATGAACGTAACACTATATCCACTGTATCCTCTGCATCCACTGTATTCTCTGCATCCACTGCACCCACCGTATCCTCTACATCCGCTGTATCCTTTACATCCACTGCCCCCTTTGCATCCTCTGTTCCCGCTGTATCCACCGGCCTCACCAAACATAAAATCAATCATTCCATATGTGCTAAACCTACCTTAGACTCAACTGTTCCTCGTCCCATTCCTGAAACCAGAATTTATGAAATTAACATTGGTCCATTCAAGAAACGTTTACCCCATATCCTTGTGTATTCCTCAGTATCGGACACTACTTTATCTCTCCTTGTAGACTCTGGCACAACAGTTAGCCTACTGAAACGATCTTCTATACAAAAACCAGTTGACATCGCAACATAAGTAATATTTCTGAAAGTTATTGACCCTATTGACCAAGCTTCCCCTACAATGGGCCATTTTCCACTTAAGATAAAAATAAATGATAAAAATAGTATCACACATAGATTCCATATAATACCTCAAATAAACTTACCTTATGATGGTATAGTTGGCACTGATATGCTAATCGCTTTTGGCTGCACAATCGATTACACTCGTGAAACTTTGAAAATAGGTGGAAATGAAATAAAATTACATTTCAATGAACCTACTTATGTTATTCCTCCCAGATCTGAAACCGTCATAGAATGCTCTGTCTCCAACCCTGAAGTAAAAGAAGGACTCGTACTAGACCAATATTATCATGAAAATTTACTAATCGCTTATTGCTTCGTCGCAGTCAAAGAAAACAAAAGAATTAAGTTATCAGTAATCAATACCTCTGAAACTCCTATAAACCTACAGTCAAACCTAGATATCACACTAATTCCCTTAAGTTCTTTAACCCAACCTTTTGATCCAGTAAACACTTGCAATTTAAAAAACACAAACTCTTACCTCCGAACACAAGAAGTATTAAACCTACTTAGAGTCTCCCACCTCAATCCTGAAGAGACAAACGCTCTTCACGATGTTTGCTCTGAATACTCGGACATATTCTTTATTCCTGGCGACAAACTATCCCATACAAATGCCCTTAAGCATAAAATAAAAACCAGCTATCAAAATCCCATAAATGTAAAATCTTATCGGTTCCCAGAGGTACATAAACAAAAAGTAAAAAAACAAATTGACCAAATGCTCGACCAGGGAATCATAAAACATTCAGAGTCTTCATGGTCTTCACCAATCTGGATTGTCCCAAAACAAATTGACGCATCCGGACAACAAAAATGGCGTATAGTTATCGACTGTCGGAAATTAAACGACATCACTGTTGATGACAGCTACCCTACACCGCAAATATCCGAAATTTTAGATCAGCTAGAACAGAGCAAATACTTCTCAACACTTGATCTTGCGTCAGGATTTCACCAGATTTTAATCAATGAGGAAGACCTTCCCAAAACAGCTTTTAGTGTATCACAAGGACACTACCAATTTACAAGAATGCCGTTTGGTTTAAAAAACGCGCCTGCCACTTTCCAACGATTAATGAATACCGCGCTCACAGGCCTCCAAGGTATACGGTGTTTTGTCTACCTTGACGACATTATCATATATTCTCATGATTTAAATTCTCATATTGATAACCTTTCGTCAGTATTCCAAAGGCTTCGAAACTACAATTTAAAACTCCAACAAGTGAGAATTTCTCCGACGTGAAGTCGCATATCTTGGCCATCAAATAACTAAAGATGGTGTAAAACCTAACCCTGAAAAGGTACAAGCGGTAACTCAATTTCCTACTCCCAAATCCCCGAAAGACATTAAGTCCTTCCTCGGTCTTGTATCCTATTATCGACGTTTCATTGCCAATTTCTCAAAAATTGCTAAACCTTTAACTCAACTTCTAAAAAAGGATGTCCCCTTTCTATGGGAAAACCAACAACAAGTCGCCTTCGACGAACTCAAGCACAAACTTATCTCTGCTCCCATCCTCATTTATCCAGATTTTTTCATCCCTTTCATCCTAACATGAGATGCCTCTAATTATGGTGTTGGTGCTGTACTCAGTCAAGGTCCAATTGGCAAAGATAGGCCAATAGCCTTTGCCTCTCGGACTCTCAACAAAAGCAAATGTAACTATAATACCACCGAAAAGGAACTCCTTTCTATTTTGTTCGGTTGTAAAACCTTTCGCCCATATCTCTATGGACGAAAATTCAAGATCATTACTGACCATAGACCACTAAAGTGGTTGTTTAATCATAAAGATCCTAGTAGCAAGTTACAAAGATAGCGCCTAAAACTAATGGAATACGAGTATGAGATCGAATACCAGAAAGGAAAATTTAATGCCGCTGCTGACGCCCTATCCCGATATCCTGTAAACCCAGTTCAACCATCAGACTCTGATCTTATTCCATCGAATTCTAATAAAAATGAAGATAACTCCACACCTCAATTCAGCCCTCTTACTCTTGACGATCTTGACATCCAACTACATCCTGATTCCTTAGACCTCGACGATAAACTACCTTCTGTAGACCTCTTGGAAAACGATGATTCATTACCAGGTATCGACGATCCTCCTACACCGACCACATCCAACAAATCTCCAGATCCTATACCAAATCCTTCTCGTGACGATAATTATAGCAAGTTCCTAAAAACAATGGGCAACAAAGACTTTAATAGTAACGCTAACATCCTAGAACACAACGAAAGCATCCTGAAAACTAACTGCAAAATCATTGTCATACCTACTTCCATCGATCTCGATGACTCCAACCCTCACGTAGAAGAAATTCTAAGTAACCTCGAAAACTCTAAAGAACTCTTAGATAGGGAAAGAACTCTTTATTCCTTCATCTCATTCGATCACAAAGGAAAAACAAACAGTTCTTATGAAGACATTTATTCAAGCTTACTAAATCTTCGATGCGATATATTACGTAATTCCACTGATTCCAACCTAAGTTTAGCCATTACTGATTTCCAAAATCCTTTCGACAAACACATCTGGACAAAAATATACAACATGTTCTGCTATATCTTTAACAATACTCAAATATCAGTTCATATTTATCACAATGCTATAATTTACCCTACATCCTCCGAGATACCCAGAATACTCCGTGAAAACCACGACATTCCAATTGCCGGACATTTAGGATCTACGCGAATGTATAATCGAGTAAAAGAGAGGTATTTCTGGAAAAATATGCGGACAGACATCGATACATACGTGAAGAACTGCTCCCAATGCCAAAGTAATAAAGCCTTAAGACAAGTTAATAAATCACCTATGCAAATAACTACCACTTCCACCAAACCATTTGAACAAATCAGCCTCGACCTTGTAGGACCACTTCCAGAAGACTTAATAAACTCAAATTTATTGTTACGTTGCAGGACGACCTCACCAAATATTCCCTCGCTTACCCTATCGCTAATGCGACTGCAGAAGAGACATGTGAATGTCTAGTGCACTTTATTTCTGTCTTCGGCATCCCGAAGTCTATTTTAACCGATCAAGGCACAAACTTCACCGTAGACCTATTTAAAAGAATCTGCAACTTCCTGAAAATTAAACAAATCTGGTCTTCTCCATACCATCCTCAAACGCAAGGTGCACTTGAGCGCAGTCACTCCACACTTAAGGAGTACCTTAAATCTTATGTCAACGAAAATCATTCTGATTGGCATAAGTATGTTTATACCGCTATGTTGGCATATAACACATCTACTCATTCCACTACTAATTTCACACCATACGAACTCCTCTTCGGTCAGAAGCCTTTTATCACGGACTCCGTCTACGAATTACAATCGGACCTTACATATCCAGAATATCTCAAATCTCTACACCATCGTCTAAAACTTTCACGCGAAAACGCCGACACCCGGTCACGGCCCGTTCAGTATAAAGTTGGAGATTACGTATATCTCAAAAATCATGTGCGTCTGCGCAAAGCCCTTTCGCCTATTTAGAAAGGACCGTATAAGGTTGTAAAAATCAATGGCAGAAACACCTTGACATTACTCATAAGTAGACGTCATGTGACACATCACTATGACGAAGTTAAATTAGCTCCTAGATCTGAAACGTAACCCTAGTTATATACATAACACTAATTTTAATTATATTCTATTACAGTAATTCCGCGCTGAGTCAAGAATTCATTACGTATTTGACGAACAGTCCTGGTATCTACTTCGACCCTTTAGGTTCCTTAAGTTTAGTTGATAGTTATCTTAGTGTAGTTATCCCGTATGATGTATCTTTTATCAGTCCACATATTCTAAATCTGCGAATAGTCCTAGATAAATCCAAACAAGTATGTAATGATGGCAAAGTCTTTGATCGTTTGGAATGTACTAATCTCTTTGAATCGTTGCACATCCGTTATAATGATATAGCCCATGACAACGAAGCCATCTTCCATCTTACGTCTCGCCAGTCGAGAAGGTCTGCACTTCTAGGATTCGTAGGCACTGCATCAAAAAAGTTATTTGGCACAATGGATGAAGACGATGCCATCCGATATGACAACGCCATTACAGAGGTAGAAATAGACCAAAAGAAATTAGCCCTCCTGATGAAGGAAAATATACTAGTCAGCTCAGATCTTTTAACGAAACTTTGCATAAAATTAGACTAAATGAAAACCACCTAAAAACGCAATTGATGGACTGTCCCAAGACATCATAAATCTAACTTACGCTTCAAAAGAATTAGGTATTAGATCTCGCATGCTGGAATTAACTTCCATGATGGAAAGTAGTCTCCTAGCCTTGTCCTTCAAAGTTGAGGACATAATTAATGCTATCATGTTTAGCAAATCTAATATCCTGTATCCTACTATCCTAACACCTAAAGAACTTTAGTCGAAAACTACAGATTCTTACCCAAATCTAAACAACTCCCAGTTCCTTTAATACTCGATAACATGCATACTATTTTAAATATATCAGAAATATCTAGTTACTTCAATAAAGAAAAAGTAGTGTTTGCAGTAAAAATCCCTCTCATTAACCCTATACACTTAAACATATATCATAACTTACCTTCACTGGTCCCTCATGACAAAAATAATCTAGAGTCATATTCGACCATTATTCCATCTTCCAAATATATTGGTATAAGCAAAGATAGACCAATGTATTGTAAGTTAGATAACCTAGCTTATTGTAAAGTAATAAAAAATGATCATTACCTTTGTCAAACACCAATACTGTATTCCTCTTCCGCGATGCCCTCCTGTGAAAGCGTAATTATTACAAAAGTACTTACCTCAATCCCTTCGATTTGTGAAACTAAATTTATTCATGGTCACGTTAGCATCTGGCAGCCACTACACTATAATAGATAGTTATTTGTAATGTCTGAAAAAACTAAAATAAGTATTGAATGTAATAACTCCCAAGCTACTGAAACAGAATTTAGTGGAAATGGTATATTGTACTTACCTCCTGAATGTGTCGCCTACTGTAAAGACACTCGTTTAACACCGCATGAAAATCGTGAAATTCAACTGAAAACTATTGTAACTAATTTTAACATTTTAAATGATTCCTGTTGTAATATTGTAGCGTATAATAACATTGTATCAAACTTACCGGTAGTTAATCTTAAGAATGTTAACTTAGATTCCTTAGCTTATGATGATCCTGAAATCCTGAAAAGCCTTAACAGTATAATTGAAAAACCACATATTGTTTTATATCAAAAATATTATTCAGGTATCACAATTGTAATTATAGTTTTTATTATGTGCTGTATTATTTATAAGATGTATAAAACTGGCATACACAAGAAAATAATGAAATCTCAAGAAAATATAACTCCTGAAAATAAGGACATTGAATTAGATGACAGTAACCCCTCAAATATTGACCTTCTCTTCGAATCGGCTAATTTATATTTACTATGACATAAACTCCACTTTTAAGGGTGTAGTTTACTCTAAATCGGGGGGCTGTTACGGTTTCCCAGTGCTAGGGAAAACCCTTAATCATAGGTAATAAGTAATTACATAGATTTCCTCTAAATAGTCATGTCATCATTTAAAGGCAGCTCTGCTTCCCGCTCCCGGGAACAAGTCAGTCTCTGCCCGACCGCTGAATCCATAACACCTCTGTATCATCTCGTGTCTGCCATTTTCGACTCCAGGCTAATTAAAATTTGTAACCATTTCTATTTCTAAATTATACTATTTCCGTTGTGAAATAAAAGTGCTTTTTTTAAAAACTAGTTTACGAGGTCCGCTATTCCTGGCTACGGTGGCGACCATGGTAACGGCTGGGCAGGGGGTGTTAAGAATCTCCGGTGGAGGTTCGGTTGCCACCTTAGACGACTCGACCTGGCAACGTACAACGCACGCACCCTGAGGACTGACGAGAAGTTCGTGGAGCTGGAAGAAGAGATAGACAAGTTGCGCTGGCATATTATAGGATTATCCGAAGTCCGAAGAGAGAGGGAGGACACGGTAATCCTCGAATCCGGCAACTTGCTCTATCACCGGGAGGGCGACCATCTGTCCCAAGGAGGTGTCGGATTTATCGTCCACAAGTCTCTCGTTAACAACGTTGTAAAGATCGGGAGTGTGTCGACGAGGGTTGCGTACCTTATACTCAGAATCACCAAACGGTATTCGCTGAAACGGTGAGCTGAAAGTAGGGAAATTTGAAATAGGGCAACGGAACCCAAGGGGCCAGCAGCTGGCCGACTTCATGGAGAAAGAGGGACTCTTTATGATGAACTCTTTCTTCCAGAAGCGGCCCCACAGGAAGTGGACCTGGTCGAGCCCCGACGGTTCGACAAAAAATGAGATTGACTTCATTATGACGACCAGACGACAACTGTTCAGTGATGTCTCCGTGATCGCGAGGGTGAAAACTGGTAGCGATCACCGAATGGTTAGAGGCACACTGAACCTAAACGTTAAGTTGGAGAGGTCTCGTCTAATGAAGTCAACGCTCCGTCCCCCTCGTGCTCTAATCCAAAGTCCCGAAACCTTTCAGCTCGAGTTACAAAACCGTTTTCAGTGCCTAGAAGACTGCAATGAAGTGGACGATATGAATGACAAGCTCGTGGAAACTGTCCATGCGGTCGGAGCTAAGTTCTGCAAGACCCGCCGCAGAAGAACACAAAAACTCTCCGATCACACTCTTAATCTCATGCCTGTTAGACGGGAGATGAAGCTACATTCTTCAACAGACTTGACAGCATACAGGCATCTGAACAGACAGATCTCCAAATGCATGCGGCGGGACTTACGCAACTTCAATACAGCTCGTATTGAAGAAGCGATCGAGCGGAACCAAGGCTCCAAAGTCTTTGCCAGAGATCTGTCTGCCAGAAAGAGCTAACTGTCAAAGCTGAAGACAGAATGTGGCAGCATCGTTTCCGGGACACCTGAGATTTTGAGTGAGATTGAGAGGTTCTATGGGCAGTTGTACACGTCATCGTTGGAGCCACACGCAAGTGTGAGTAACGATCCAAGAGCGAGTCTCATCCGACACTATTCCGAAGATATCCCGGACGTCAGTCTGAGCGAGATTAGAATGGCTCTCCAGCACCTTAAAAACGGTAAGGCCCTAGGCGAGGATGGAATTACAGCGGAGCTTCTGAAAGCGGGTGGAAAACCGGTACTTGAAGTCCTTCAGAAGCACTTTAATTCCGTCCTCCATGGTGGCATTACACCGGAGGCGTGGAGCAGAAGTGCAGTGGTCTTGTTGTTCAAGAAAGGTGACAACGCTCTCTTGAAGAACTACAGACCGATTTCCCTTCTGAGCCGCGTCTACGTGCTGTTTTCGAGAGTCATTACGAATCGTCCCGCGCGCAGACTTGACGACTTCCAGCCTCTCGAACAAGCCGGTTTCCGAAAGGGCTTTAGCACCATAGACCACATACATACCCTTCGGCAAATTGTACAGAAGTCCGAAGAGTACAATTTGCCACTATGTCTGGCGTATGTGGACTATGAGAAAGCCTTTGATTCCGTCGAAATTTGGGCGGTGCTGCAGTCCCTTCAGCGGTGCCAAGTTGACTGTCGGTATATCGAAGTGTTGAAGTGCTTGTACAGTAGGGCTACGATGGCTATCCGAGTACAGAACCAGAGTACGAAACCTATCCAATTGCAGAGAGGTGTAAGACAGGGTGACGTCATATCCCCGAAACTCTTCACCGCTGCATTGGAAGACGTTTTTAAGCTTCTGGACTGGAAAGGATACGGTATCAACATCAATGGCGAGTACATCACTCACCTTCGATTTGCCGACGATATAGTCCTTATGGCAGAATCGCTGGAGGACCTAAGCACTATGCTCAATGACCTCAATAGTGTTTCCCAACGGATAGGTCTTAAGATGAACATGGACAAAACTAAGATCATGTTTAATGTCCATATCACACCTATGCCGGTAGTTGTTGGGAACACTAAGCTCGAAGTTGTTGACGAGTATGTTTACCTGGGACAAATAGTCCGACTAGGTAAGTCCAACTTCGACCGAGAGGTCAATCGACGGATTCAACTCGATTGGGCAGCGTTCGGAAAATCACGGCACATCTTCTCATCAGGTATACCTCAAACCTTGAAAACGAGACTGTACACCCAGTGCGTGTTGCCAGTGATGACATACGGAACTGAGACGTGGTCCTTCACTGCTGGCCGGATGAGGAAACTCAAGGTCGCTCAGCGAGCTATGGAGAGGGCTATGCTCGGAGTTTCTCTGCGTGATAAACTTAGGAATGAGGATATCCGCAGTAGAACCAGAGTAATCGACATAGCCCAACGGATTAGTAAGCTGAAGTGGCAATGGGCCGGCCATATAGCTCGAAGAACCGACAACCGATGGGGAAGAAAGGTTCTCGAGTGGCAGCCTCGTACCGGTAGGCGAAGTGTAGGGCGTCCCCCCACGAGATGGAGTGACGACCTGGTAAGACATGCAGGAAGTCGATGGATGCAGGTGGCTCAGGACCATGCTTTGTGGCATTCTTTGGGGGAGGCCTATGTTCAGCAGTGGACTTGTGAAGGGCTGTAATGATGATGATGATGATGAACGAGGTCATTTTCCATCCTCGCTCATGGTATGGTTGGGAATTTCTTATTGGGGCTTAACAGAGGTACATTTTTGTGAGAAAGGTGTAAAAACGAATGCAGTTGTGTATCATAATACAGTCCTGACGAACCTTGTGGAACCTGTTTCTCATACCATGTTCAATAACTGGCACTGGGTATTCCAACAAGATTCGGCGCCAGCTCATAGAGCGAAGAGCACACAAGACTGGCTGGCGGCGCGTGAAATCGACTTCATCCGGCACGAAGACTGGCCTTCCTCCAGTCCAGATTTGAATCCGTTAGATTACAAGATATGGCAACACTTGGAGGAAAAGGCGTGCTCAAAGCTTAAGCCTAAAAATTTGGAGTCCTCAAGACATCCTTGATTAAGGCAGCCGCCGATATTGACATGGACCTCGTTCGTGCTGCGATAGTCGACTGGCCGCGCAGATTGAAGGCCTGTATTCAAAATCACGGAGGTCATTTTGAATAAACTTTAGTGTCATAAGAATCTATGTTTTGTTAAGTTCATTTTGGTATATAAATGGTTACATAATGAATAAATTTGTTTCAATTATTTTATATTAAACATGTGACAGAATTTATGACCTGACTAGGTATATATATATAGTGTGGACTGTATGTTTATAGGTGGAAGATCCTCTAGGAATGAAACAGCATTTATCTTCAAAACCTCTCCGTAAGAGTGCAATTGATTACTGTTAGGGATTACCTTATTCTAAATAATATAAATTGCCATTTCCGGTGATTAATTAATCTCAAGCTATTGATTTTATTCTAAACTTCGAATCACTATAAATATAATTAATTAAAATCCATGTGTAAGTAAGCTAATATAATTTTTGTGAAATTGAATACAACTTTCGTAAAATAAGAAAAACATTGTAAGACTACATCCGGTCCGTGTATTTACCGTTTCCGGCTATGCGGAAAGGTAAAGACATGACTTGTAAAACGATACCGGGGGAGTCATTCGCTCGTCGGCTTTTCAACAGTGAAGGAAGCTTAAGTAGGACGTTACGCCGAATTTGATCAATAATTATACTGTTGGATTGTTCGATAATTAAGTGTAAGCGGAAGAGCTAATAAATTTGTTGAGGAAAATCAAACTCATTGTATGAATTTTCGTTAACTCCAATAGTTCAGAAGTGGGATCACGAAAAGGATACATAAAACTTCCTTTCACGCCTATAAAAACGTAAGTAAAGTGAACAATTTTCTGTTAAATGATGTAACCCTTAAATTGTGAAACTTCTTAAACTGTGTAGGGAATTAATGATTTTTTTTGTGATTTCTTTGTTTTTATATTACCCCCATTACTACTTACATTTAAATGCCTTCTTTGTGATTCTTTTTGTATTACTCGTACTCGAGAAATATATTACATAGTAATTATAGAATGTGCTGGTATGTAACGTGAGAAATCCTCTTATTACCATTGATTTTCAAGCGTGACGATTGAAGCATGTCTTCCCTGTAGCGAAGAGGCTCTTATTATACAATAAACTTTTAAGTGCTTCTGACGACGATGATGAGCCATATCGAACGCGTTTAAAGTTGGTGCATTGTTTCCTGCAATTAATGTTTTTCTTTTTGGACGTATTATAAAACATTGGTTTTTATTAGTTCCTCTTCCTTTGTCATTAGCTTTTTTTTATTTTCTTTTATTGTTCTTAAATTGAAAAAAAAAATTATATGGGAGGATGAAAGGGGAATGCCATGTCCCAACGATAAATTAAAGAATGGAAAGAGCGAAACATATATTATATTAGGATTTCACATGAAGAGATCACAATTAAATATTTTTATTTTCTGTTTTTATCTATATCATATAATCTTTCCTTTTATCCACTTAATCAATGAAGAGAAGTATAGTAAGGAATTACACTCATGGTTATCACTCTAAGCTTTGATTTTTCTAAGTTCCAGAGACATGGATAAAAACGTTGCCCGAGGTCAAGGGCTTATTGATAAAACCCGAGGTCAAGGGTCTCTAATCAATGATGCCCGAGGTCAAGGGCCTAATATTGATGCCCGAGGTCAAGGGCCTAATATTGATGCCCGAGGTCAAGGGCCTAATATTGATGCCCGAGGTCAAGGGCCTAATATTGATGCCCGAGGTCAAGGGCCTAATATTGATGCCCGAGGTCAAGGGCCTAATATTGATGCCCGAGGTCAAGGGCCTAATATTGATGCCCGAGGTCAAGGGCCTAATATTGATGCCCGAGGTAAAGGGCCTAATATTGATGCCCGAGGTAAAGGGCCTAATGATGACGCCCGAGGTCAAGGGCTATGGACAGATGATTCCCGAGGTCAAGGGTTTATCGTAGATAATGGTCGAGGACAATGCCTAGATAGTGAAAACACCCATGGTCACGGGTCGAGAAACTATGATGCCCGGGGTCAAGGGCTTATAGAAGGTAACGCCCGAGGTCAAGGGCACCAGTATAGAACTTTGGATTATATGGAAGAAACACCGGGACATTCGCGAGATAATTTAAGTTTACGGAAACGTACCAGGGATAGAACGTGTTCGTTGGAAGAGTCTGATGACAATGAAAGTTTTAGAAGGGGCGATTCAAGGGGGCGGAGAAGACTATCTAATTAACGGATATCAAGGCGTAGACGTAGGTGTACCAGTACATCATCAGAATCTTCGGGTAAGTCCGTCAAGGCTCATTCAAAATCTAATCGTGGTAAAAACCTTAAAAATAGTATAGACGTCATACTGGACAGGTTCCTTTCCATAATTAAAGATTTAAGGAGTTCGGATAAACCCAAACTATCTTACAATAATAACGTCGTTCCAAACTTTGATCCCATGACAAAGGAACAGACCATACTCACGTGGATTAATAAAGTAGAAGAATGTGCAGAGATCTATGGTTGGGACGAAAAGGAAATAATTCACTATTCACTTCCGAAATTATGCGGTGTTGCTAGGTCATGGTATCAAGGTCTTCCATCTTTGTTGTATAATTGAAAGAAAAGCTTATCGAATCGTTTCCATGTTGCGAAGATTACGCCGAACTCCTTACAGAAATGCTGAACAAGCGGGTTAGGTATGGCGAGTCGTTAGAACATTATTATTACTCTAAAATTAATCTGATAAAGCGTTGCAAAATAAGCGGTAGGCAAGCAGTAGATTGTCTACTTCATGGCGTTGATGACCGTGCTGTAAAAGTTGGAGCACAGGCAGCACAATTTTCTGAACCATAACAAGTCCTTAAGTATTTTAAGTCTGTTAGGGTCGGAAACTCTAGGGACAGTAGCGATTATTTAAAGAAGAATAGATTAGATAAAAATGTTAACGTTAACAAGCTATCTTTTTCGAAGTTCGCTGGAAATAACTGTAACATACGGTATTTTAATTGCAACATGATAGGCCACCCAAGTTTTAAATGCGAGAAACCATTGAAATTAAATGTACGAATTGCGATAGGATTGGTCACCAGTTGTCAAACTGTTATAGAAACAAAAACAAGGAAGTTTCTAGTAACACCTCCGCCAACATAAACGAAAAACAGGTTTCTAAACTTAGTGCAACCGGTAAAACTAATGATAAGTATGTAATGGATGTGAATGTTAACAATAAAACATTTCAATGTCATTTGGATTTGGGTAGCCAATGTTCTCTTATGAGAGAAACTGATGCTAAGTTACTAGATGTGAGTATTATTAAAAACGCAGAGTTGCCTACCTTAAGGGGTATTGGTGCAAATCTTGTTCGACCACTGGGATTGATACTCGTAATAGCCGCCGTAGAAGTGCAGGATATCAAAGAAGTCATCGACATATATGTGGTACAAGATTACGTTTTGAGCTATCCATTGTTACTGGGTCATTCGTTCTCGGAGAAACCGGATATAGTGATTACCAATACTCCAGACGTGATTATATTTAAAAAAATCCAACATCAAAAGGTTCATTTGATTTCGCAGAACAGAGTAATAAGTCCCAATAATAGCTTACGCGCCGTACCCGTTCACTGCAAATTATTGAACAACGGATACGTTTATGTACGTGGGTCGACTCGAGGGTCCTCTGGCAAAGAATACTACTATCTTCTACCGGGAGAATACGCCGTAAGAAATAATAAATGTGTGTTGCTGATTTATAACGTGTCCAACGAGGATATTATCGTAGAAAAGAATTTACTCTTGACAAGGGCTACCCATAATACCCAAATACATCTAACTGCAGACATTTGCGAAATTACTAGAAGTAAAACTGAAATAGATGACTCCGTAATCTGTAATCCTAATTTGACGACCGAGCAACGACTGTTATTTCAAAATACATTAACCGAATTTCAAGACTGTTTCTCGAGTAGTCTGAAGGACTTGGGACTCACTAATGCAACCGAAATGGTTATTGAGCTCGAAGACTCGGAACCAATCGTAAACTTTCAGAGGACTATGAATAAAATTTTATCCGAGGCCAAAATTAAATACGCTCTAATATATATATATGGACGATATTTTAATACCATGTAAAGAGTTTGATGAAGGTTTAACAAGACTAAAAAAAAGTACTGGGCTTGTTGAGGAAAGGTGGCCTCGCATTAAAACTAAGTAATTGTAACATCTTTTTCGAAAATATTGATTTCCTTGGTTTTGAGGTGAGTGCACATGGTATACGGCCGGGCTCGAGGAAATGCGAAGCAGTATCAAAACTTCCCAAGCCAATAAATCAGCACGAAGTGCGCCAATTTTTAGGCCTCTGGGTGTTTCAGGAGATTTATTAAAAATTATGCATTAATAGCAGCCCCACTGACTTACTAAAAAAAGAATAACGAATGGATATGGCACGACGGCTCCGTGGCGCATTGGCTTAGCAATCAGTTGTTGCGCTGGGGGCCGCGGGTTCGAATCCCGCACGGAACAAGTATTTGTATGGCCTACAAATAATTGCTCCGGGTCTGGATGTTTGTCCTTGTGCAATTTATGTTTGTAAACTGCCTCCACGACCCAGGAGAAAATCCTAGTGTAGGGGTAACGTTTGTTAAATAAAAAGAAAGAAGAAAAGAAAGAACCGCAAGAAAACTCATTTACCCGCATCAAAAACTTATTGTCCGGGCGTCCGTTACTTGCTCTATACGACCCTCGTGCCGAGACTCATCTTCATACCGATGCCAGCAAAAATGGCTCGGCTGGCATCCTACTTTAACGCAATCAAAATGGAGTTTTACAACCGGTAACGTACTTCAGTCGTAAAACCACCGCGGAAGAACAAAAATACCATTCCTTTGAGCTCGAAACCCTTGCTGTTATTGCATCCCTACAGAGATTTAGAGTTTACCTCATTGGAATCCCATTTACTGTACAAACCGACTATAATGCACAAGATTTAGTGCCACGGATTGCTCGATGGTGAATCCAATTGCAAGAGTACGATTATACAATTGAATATAGACCAGGAATAAAGATGTCTCACGTGGACGCCCTTAGTCTCAACCCAGTAGATACGAATGTCAATGAGTCACACGTTCTCGATGTACTGTCGGTTGAACATGAACAAGATTGGATCGCTACCGTGCAATCAGCAGATCAGGAAATTACCAGAAAAAAAAAACATACTCAATGATCCGAATACTGAGAATGTACTTGACATCCGCAAAAAATTTTTACCCTAAAAAATGGACCCGTATACATTTATACAACATTATAGGTGATGAATTAAAATGGTTTGTACCTAGTGGAACTCGGTGGCAGATTATTAAGAGGAATCATGACGATGTTGGCCATTACGGTTATGAAAAAACGTTAGCACGCATCAAAAAGCACTACTGATTTGCACGCATGAGGCGGTTCATAAAGAAGTATGTTTCAGCCTGTTTAGAATGTGCTCACCATAAGGTACCAGGTGGGAGACGAGAAGGTGAGTTGCACCCAATAGAAAAATATAGCATACTATTTCATACTATTCACGCTGATCACCTGGGTCCTTTTATAAAAAGTAAAGTAGGAAATTGTTATATATTAGTTATAATAGACAGTTTTACAAAATTTATTAATACTACATCCGTTAAAAACACTAAATCACTGACAACTATTAAAGTTCTAAAAGACCACATTAGTTTCTTTGGAGTACCAACGCGCCTTATTAGAGATAGAGGGTCCAGCTTTACAAGTAAATCATTTAAAGATTTTATTGTCGAGTATGGAATAAAGCATGTCATGAACGCAGTTGCGACTCCAAGAGCCAATCGTCAGGTGGAACGGTTCAACAGAACCATTACAGAGGCACTAGCGACATCAAATCATGGGAAGGACGAAAAGGCTTGGGACGAACACATTCGAGACATACAAATTGGTCTTAACACTACGGTCCACAAAACTACTCATAAATCACCATCAGAACTCTTATTTTGCTTTAATATAAATAACAGAAGTCAGGGAATCCTAAGTACAATAATCAATGATACATTAAATGTAATATCGTCTGATGAATTAGAATCTGTCAGGGAGGAGGCTAATAAACGTATTCAGGCGCAACAGCAAAAAGATGTTGATCGATATAACAGGCATAGAAAAGCAGGTAGAAAGTACAAGGTAGGAGACTTAGTTCGTATAGAAAGACAAGTCCCGCATGATGGTAAATCGCAAAAATTAGTAATTAAATACCAGGGCCCGTATCGTATCATTAAAGCGCTCCCTCATGATAGGTTTATAGTTGAAGACACGCCGTTGTCACGTAAAATAATGGTCGTAGGTACGAAGAAATAGTGGCGTTGGACAAAATTCAACCATGGATGAGCTTTGATAGGGACTTTGGTAATAGTTCAAATAATACAAGTGATGCTGATGATGATACTGGCGACAATGGACTTACTAATGAAGTATAATAATGAACCATAATAATACTACAAATGTAAAGGAACCCACGAAATATGAGTTTGTACTAATAATATAAGTAATTAAGTCACTATTTTTTTTTCTATTTACTTTAAATGCTTGTGATTATGTTCAGTTATTCAAATTATGTATAATTATAAGGTAAAATTATTAAGTTTTTTTTAATAAACCAAATACATATCTATATTAGTTATATAAATACGAGTATAGTAAGCTTTATATTAGTATAGTAAGCTTTTATGAATAAATCTAAATTGTAATTAAGTTTCCCGTAAATAAAAATATACTATGTACTTCAATTTAGACTTAAGATTGTGAAAAAAAAAAATATTGGTGTGTAGTTCGAGATTACACCGCGAAGGGTCTCGCGCTATACAGGATAGCCGAGCTGTTAGGGATTACCTTATTCTAAATAATATAAATTGCCATTTCCGGTGATTAATTAATCTCAAGCTATTGATTTTATTCTAAACTTCGAATCACTATAAATATAATTAATTAAAATCCATGTGTAAGTAAGCTAATATAATTTTTGTGAAATTGAATACAACTTTCGTAAAATAAGAAAAACATTGTAAGACTACATCCGGTCCGTGTATTTACCGTTTCCGGCTATGCGGAAAGGTAAAGACATGACTTGTAAAACGATACCGGGGGAGTCATTCGCTCGTCGGCTTTTCAACAGTGAAGGAAGCTTAAGTAGGACGTTACGCCGAATTTGATCAATAATTATACTGTTGGATTGTTCGATAATTAAGTGTAAGCGGAAGAGCTAATAAATTTGTTGAGGAAAATCAAACTCGTTGTATGAATTTTCGTTAACTCCAATATTACTTTCCCTATTCCTATCACTTCCCTATGCGTTTTCTTTCTTGATTATAAGTATTAAGTATTACTGGTAGCTGGTCCCGAACTGTCCTGAACAAATTACACTACGTAGTCGTCTGCATGTATGCTAAAGCACACAGCAGGTGTTTCGGGCCTCAGGGCATGCCCCCTATGCCCGGAATTTCCTCGCGGTGCATCACTATGCACCGGTCGTGGGAGCCGTTATGGCCTTGTTGGGTGAAGCAGCGACGCGGGTTCGATTTCCCGGTCGCTGTATGTTTATTTAAAATTTTCATGAAAAAAAAATTTTTTTTTTCATGTAGTCGGGTAATATGGCCAATGCCTGATAAAGCGGTATAATATGGCCGATTTCCTGAAAAAATCGCTATAGAGAGGAGTTCTCTTGGCAGAGGTCGCCCGTCCGGAGGTCGAGCGTGAAGAGGTGCAAAATTTTGTAGGTGTTCATGTGGCCCGTTGTCGGCGCGGTCGAACATGCCGCGCGCTAGTCGGGCCACGAATTGCTCGACAGTCTCCATCTTCAAGTTGGCGCGATGACGTCGTTCCGGACGTAGCGACCTGAACCGACGATGGTCCGTAATGATATGTTCTGCTGGACCTGTAATCGCCGCTTCTGATGATCGCTCAGGAGCGCGTACCAGGCCGGCGCAGCATGTGTAAATCTGGATATGATATATGTTTGGTAAATATTCAGTTTGGTCTTGAGAGGTAATTTTGATGTTAGGACCGGACGGAGCGCCGCCCGCGCACATCTGGCATTGCGGACGGCGATATCGACGTGCGCGGTCATGCGCAGCATCCGGTCGATCCGGCACCCTATGTACGTCACTGTCTTCTGGTAGGTAATCTCCTGGCCCCTGAGCGTCAGCGGTGGTGGAAAATTCCTGTAGCAGCGAGTGAGCAGAGCGGTCGTCTTGCCAACATTGACGGCCATCCTCCACTCGTCTAGCCATGGTGACAGCAGGTCCAGCAGGCGCTGCATCCTGGCAGTGGCTATGTGGGCTCTTCTAGACGATGTGAAGTAGGCACTATCGTCCGCTTATATTGCTAATTCAACATCGTCTTCCCATTCGCGCAGGTGGTCTGCCAGGGTGGGAATGTCATTGGTGTAAGCCGTGTACAGGATCGGCGACAGACAGCTGCCCTGCGGTACGCCGGCTCTAATTGGTCTCGCTGCGGACTCGGCGTCCTCTACAGACGTAGAACTTGCTATCTCTGAGAAATGACGCCACTAGCCGCAACATAGCAGGAGAGGTACTTGTTTGTGCTTCCAATTTATAGAATAATCCAGAGTGCCACATTCTGTCGAACGCCTTCTCTATGTCAAGAAAGACGTCCAACGATGTGTGGCCGCGGTTGTACTCGGTCTCAAGATAGTGCAGCACCCTGGTCAGCTGTGTTGCTGTTGAGTGACCCCTCCTGAATCCGTGTTGTTTCGCCCGAAGATGTACGCACGGGCGGAAGCTTCTTAGCAGCAATCTTTTGCACAGTTTAGCTAAGTGCGGTAGCAGCGTGATCGGCCTATAACTGGCTGCTCTACGCCTGTCCTTCCCGGGTTTCGGCAGAACGATCACTTTACCGATTTTCCAGTCCTCCGGGAAGTGGGATGTCCGCAGTATACCATTGTAGAGTCGACCTAGCTCTACAAGTGTTCTATTGGGCAGCTGTCGAAGTGCTGCGTTGGTTATCCCGTCGTGCCCCGGCGCCTTCCTGGGTTGCAGGCGGGCTACTGTCCTCCGCAATAGGGTGGGGGATATAAACCACTCTCCTGCAAGCGGTGGTGCGGGCGATGACAGGACTCCTGTACGTGGCTCTCCTTCCTGGTATGAAGATCCATGACCTTCGCACTTGCTGGGTTCAGCATAAATTGCTCCTCGAAGTGCTCTGCTAGGATATCCGCTCTACCTTTGGCCTCGTAACATCGTTCGCCCGCGTTGTTGGTCAGCGGGCAACGGGGGGTATGGTTTTTGTTAAACGACGACGCATCTTCCTCCTCTGCTTTCGATATGCGTCGCTCCGAGGCCTATCCTCTGTGGGTCCGGACTGCCACCGACAGTTCATCCGACAAGGTGTTCAGCTGCGTTTTAATTCTGGGGCAGCGAGTACGCGCCCAGAGCTTTCTCAGTGCTCCCTTGCGCTTGAGTTGCACGAAGATCTCCCGTGGCAGCTCTTCCCTCCTTCCAGTAATTGGAACGATTGTAGAGGCCGCGCGTAGGGCCTCCTGTATCGTCTTTGTGATTCTCTTTGCAGCGGCCTCTACGTCGTCCGCTGTGTTGACAGGTATATGTTGGAGGTCTGTCCGTTAGGTGTTTCTGATAGAGCCTCCAATTGAAAGGGTGATTAAAATCGGGAGGTGCTGTGAACTCAGGTCGTACAGCACCTCTACCACTATAGGGCAGTTGACGTTCCTAGAGAGCACGATGTCCAATACATCCGGACATCTCCGGTGATCCGTAGGGACGTGCGTTGGTTCCTCGGGAACTAAAACGTCATAGCCGTATCTCTCGGCGTCATCATAAAGTTCACGACCCGGCGGGGTGATCACTCTGGACGCCCACACCGGGTGTTTCACGTTTAGGTCCCCCGCGACGATGGTAGGTGCTACGCCTTCCATTACCGTCCGGATGTCTGAGGAGCGGAATGGAGTTCCTCGCCCGGCGCCTCAATTCTTATGCCGATAGAGCGCATCGTTTCATATGTTGGCAGGTCTAGTTGTTGATAGACAATGTCTCTCCTCACTAGGACCGCCGTGCCTCTGTAAGCGATCCCTTGAGGATTGACCTCGTCCCTCCTGTATATATGGTAATTCGGCAGCTTCAGATGCGTCGATGGATTTAGCTTTGTCTCTCCCAGCAATATCACCTGTATGTCCTGCTGCTGGGCGACAGTGCGGAGTTCATGGATCTTCTGTTGTATCCCGTCTGGATTCCAATGTAGTAGGCACAGGTTACTCGCCTCCGTAATGCCGGGCAAGTAGTTGCGCCAACGCTCTCATAATCGCCGTTATTGGGCCTGTCCCGGCTCTTATGTCGGCCAGGACTTGCGTGCCGACCTCTATGACTACGCCGAACAGTAGTTCAAAGTTCCACATTCAAAGTTCCGGATTCATTTATCACCAAATTACAAATAGGGAACTAACGCGATCTCTTCACGAGTCACAAGGTTCAGCGTTACAAACAACAACTAAACTCCTTCATTCGATATTAAATACTAAGCCGCAATAAGAATTCAAAATCCACCTAGCTGACAAGCAAACTAGCTACAGAGTCAACACACAAAAGGCTCTTAACGCGACGGCACAGTTAAACAATGACTTCACACTTCTTTAAATATTATAAAGGCAACAGTAGAGGCACTGTGCCAAGAAAATGCAAATCTGCTTACTGCGGAAACAGCCCTTCAACTTATGGTTGCGAAACTTGAAAAGACAAACAGTTTTATCAGTGACAGGCTACTCGAAGCGCTGAAGAATGGAATTGCTCAGAGACGCCTACCAAATTTAATCTGCACATTAAAATATATCCACAACCCCAGTAATGATTTTGCAGAGTCACCTTTGTCTACCAGGCAATAACATTATTACAGAAGTAATAACTGAGATTAACGAGAGATACTTTTCTAAAAGACAGAACTTAGATAATGACGAAGATGACATAACCTTAGTTCAATTTCAGCAACGGCAATGCCAACATCAGCAACAAAACGAGTCACACCAGGAAACACTGAAATGAGCTTTAAAGAAGAGTTACAAAAAATGATAAATGACACTAATTCCGCCACTCCTTCGACGTCTACAGCAAATTTATCAGATAGAGAAGAGTTAGAAACGTCAGTGCGAAAGCAGATGGCGCTATTTGACGGAGGAGGTCCTAGACAAGTCCATTTGAGCAAAGCGTATGACTTCCTTATGTGTATACCACCTACAAGTGTAGGGTGTGAAAGAGTGTTTTCATCGGCAAAATACATTTTTGCAACCATTTAAGTTGTTCTTTAAAAGATGATTCCCTAGACGCACTAAGTTTCCT